CCTTACCGGCCAGTCTCAATTCTCTTAGCTGGAAGCATCTACTTGAAAAACCAGTGCAGCTATCGACAAAAATCTGCGGGGAACTATGCAAAAAATGCATCTTTCGCATCGGCACTGGCCGTTTATTTGTTCCGATAAAATTTTCTCTGAAGTGACAACGAATATCCCAAAGTGGTCTATAGACTGTGATAAGGGACTGCGACCCATCAATGACCATTCTCTGTTATTGCGACAGGATTTAGGAGTACATGAAAGGATTACCGTCGGACCACATGGCGTATACGTGATCAGCCTCTCGGTGTGAATCATTGTTCAAACTTTCGAGAAATGCGGAATAATTTTTCTGTTTGCACTCGGCGTCGGGAGACGCGCAGAGCAGCTGAAAAAAGGCATCTTAGGCGAACGTCGGCAAAGCGGGAAATTAAAAGAATTAGCTCACTTGATCCTCGCAAGTATATCCAGGATATAAACCGTCTAGGGCATTGCACCATGCCGGTATGGTCTGTGCCGGCTGACAGAAGCACAGTCCATAATTGGCACCGGAAATGCCCAGGAATGTGTCAACACGAGAAGCAAGCGGTTGTCCGAGAACGCAGTCTCCATCTGTCGCTATAAGACTGCCGCCTTTCAGCACTTTTCTGTAATAGCTTGCCTTACAAAGATACATTTCTGCTGTTAACTATTAAATCGAAATAATAATTCATAAATCTGCAGATGCGGAAACACCAGCGAGAACATATCAACCAAGGCTCAAATTTGCATTAGCAGCACAGAGAGTGCAATTAGCAGCATGCATTGAATAAATGATGCAGTCCGAGTTTTTTTTTTGTTTTGGAGCTCTCGGAGCTTCACTGATTCAGAACTTTCTGATGCCGACTTCTAGAGTTCTAATTTTTGCCCCTATTTGAACTAGATCAGAAACAGGAAGACACTGAATACGATTATGACCAAATTACACAACATATACTCGAGGTAAGTTACGAAATCTTCAGTTTGCCATGTTCGACGATTCTGGCGATGAAATAGTCGTTGTACCGAAAGAATTGTAAGCAAACATACACACATACTCTCACGTATATACACACAAATACGTATGGACACGATTTCGTCCCAATTTTTTTTACTGCATCAGAAAAGTAAAATACATAAAAAAAATTTGAGAGTGCTAGTCGAATGCTTTC